CATCCCTTTCCGCGTGCGTAGCACCAGTACGTGAACGTAAAGCCCGCCGCACACGAGAGCAACTTGCTGAGCTAACCGCCTCGCGTGGCAGCAAGCTCAGCTATATGTATTTTCACCGCACACGTTGAGAAAACTACTCAACAACAACATAAGTAACAAAATCATTTGCATTTTCCTCCATTTTGTTCGAAGTCACATGAAGAAACCATGGTTTGTCTTTGGCTAATTGATTCAAACAGCTCAGCACTTAGCTCACAACATCCGCAGACGGTGAGATGTTTTCCTCGCGAGGCGAAAAATATCAAACACGATAGATATTTTCCTCAAGGCCTCGAGAGGTTAAATCCTCACGAAAACTATCCGCACACGAGAGCAACTTGCTGAGCTAATCGTCTCGCGAGGCGGTTAGCTCAGCAAGTTGCTCTCGTGTGCGGGGGCTTAAGTACGCGTACGTAAGTACGTACGTAAAAGAACGGATGAAAAACGCAGCACTGGAAATCAGTCTTTACGTATGCCAGCGTATGGAAAATTTCAATCATACGCTGACATACGGTGGCATACGCATGTGTACGGCGAGGTAAGCATGCTTAAAAATTTTTTGAGTATGCGGACGCATGCATGCATGGTTTACACTACGCAATACATACATACATACATACATAAAAATTTATTTAAACACGTTAGCCCTGACATCTTTCGATGATTTCCATAGGGGACGTGTAAGATTAAAACTAATACATATACATCATATAACAAACTATTTACATAATTATTCTTTAGACAATTAGCAAACATAAATAAATAACAAACATACAAAACTATTTACATACTTATTGTTTTCGAAAATGTAGCTTCAAGTCTTTTGAAACAACTCATAGAATTAGATTGTTTTGCAGTGATTGATAAGTTATTCCAAAGAGTTGCTCCACTATAACTGAAGGTCTTTTTCTTAAATTGTGATTTTGGGAATGGAAGTACCAGATCCGTTTGAGAATTTCTTAATTGGTGTATAAATATCTAGGGGTTTTAATGGACAAGAATCTCTCATGGAAATATCATGTAGAACATGTTCTAAGTAAAATAAGTAAAACTGTAGGCATGATTTGCCTTAATATCTATAAATCGCTGATAGGTCCATATCTCTCCTATTGTCTTGTTATTTGGGGTCAGACAAGCCAGTCAAATTGGAGTGCTATCTTAGTTTTGCAAAAACGTGTTCTTCGTTTTATCCATTTTTTAGATAAACGAGAACACGCAATACCTTTTTTTGTTGCTACAAATATTTTATTTTATTTATTTTTTGTGGGTAGCCGCGCATGCGCAGCTAACCACTATGTGAGAGACTGAAGCGCGATCTTCCGTGGCTCTGTGGCTCTGTGCCTCTGTGGCTCTGTAGCCTTCGTGTCCGCGGTGTCCTGCTGCGCGGTTCCTTTTATCCTTGAAATACGAACCGTCTATAGACCACAGGCTAAGTTCACTAACGCTCATACCGTACAGAGATGTGTATAAATTCTTGGTAAAGTCTTTATTGTAATATGTTTTGTCAGGTCGATAGTCATTTCCAACTCATATAGAATCGAATATGTCGTTGTTTTTATAATCACTGCTTGTACAAGGGTCATTGGGGTTAATATTAGCGCACGGGGTCTGTTTTATATCGTGTAATGTCATATTTAAACACGACATATCAGTTTGATCAAACATTTTATACGTATTAGAAAAATATAGTAATTAATGATATAGCGCGCGACGATTGGACATATTTACGTTAGTCTATATCGAAGGAATGTTGACGAATGACGAACATATAGGTATATAGAATCGAGTATGTCGTTGCTTACATAATGTTTGTAAGGCCACGTCATTGGAATCGGGTTAGTCGAATGTGTAAGACAAAGTTAACACAAATAGAAAGCAGTGGAATATTAGCGCTTTTTTACTTTGGGATATATTTGTCTAATATTGAAAGCAAATTGAATGTCATTACCAATATATATATGAGATCGATTATGTCGTTGTTTAAATAATTCAATCATCACTAAATAAAGTATATGTTGATCTTTTTCAAACTCCGCCGGAAACATCGTCCTTAGATCTTTGCATGGACTATCCTTGAAACTCAAAACTTCACGAAAGTTGTATATATACGCAGCCTGTAAACCTGATGCTTTGTCTTTCATGTATGCTGTCCTTGAACAAGAACTGTTCTTGTCTTATAAGTGTTTTTCGTACTGTCTGTATTTCGGCGTGTGATGTATTTTGTTTCGTATACATATTAAAGACCTTGTACTGTTCTGTCTGTTCAGTGTGCAAATTATTTTTGACACATTAAAATACTTTGTAACTTCTTAAATCTGTTTATGCTTATTGAAAAATGCACGTAACAGTCGTTTACGTATTTTTGTCATATCTGATTTTCAGTATGTGATTAAATGTGTGTATAATATTTGAATTGTGTTCAATTTACTTAATACTTTCTTTCAGTAAATTGGGAATTTGACAATAGCAATTAAGGTGGAGTAATATACTAATATGGGCAACAAAATTGCTGCAACTTGCAACAAAATCTGATTTCTGCGCATGTTAATTGAAATGTTTTGTCAACATTTCTACTTAAAATGCGTTGAAATCAGATTTTGTTGCAGAAATTTTGGCTGCAGCAATTTTGTTGCGCGTATTACTCCAACCTCGGTATTACTCCAGCTTTAACAACAATTAATGCAGGCTACCCACATGTACGCAGCGCGTACCTATTTTTTAAATATTTTATTTACAAATACTTTATTTTATTATTTTAATATTTTATCCAGTAAATATCTTCAGTATTCTATGAAAATGTACTTACATTGATGCATGATGTTAAAAATAGAGCTGCACCAGTTAACATTCTCAATCTTTTTCAGAATACGTCAGATATTCATTCTTATAATACACGTTCTTCAAAATCAAATAATTTTTACATCAAACAATCGAAACTAGAAATTCAACGAAAGTCTTTTTCTCATGTTGGAGTAAAATGGTGGAATGAGGTACCATCTTGCATAAGAGAATTGCCAACAAGAGCATTTAAGAAAAGGATACGTAGTATCCTTTTGGACATTTTACAGAATGAAAATACTTATCCGGACATAGAGTCGCTCAGCTGTAAAATTAAGAAAAGATCACGCAATGAGGCCTCAAATTGAAGCATTATTATTATTATAATTAAACTCCTACTTTTTTCCCTGTTCTTGATATACAGTATATCATTTATTTCCTTTCTAAAAACGTTAAGTAATATGTAATTTTATTGAAAATTATTTCATATTATGCATATATACTTTGCTATATAATTAATGGCTTTGTAAATTAATATTTATTACTTTTTGTGTGTTACTATAGACAAGTCCGCCTCGACTAGCTTTGTAGCTATTAGCGGCCTTGTCTTATTAATGTTTGTATTTATACTATTATTACTTTAATAAATTGAAATTGAAATTGTAAAGTAGTATCCTAAACAATTTTCTTTTAAATTCTTTTCATTTAAAGCTAGATTTATATTAGTACATTGATAGATAGAAATTTAATACTAATTTTGCACAGTCCCAGACTCATCAACTTAGTTCTTTTTGTCTAATAACTAAACAATTGTTTGAGGATTAAGAAGTTAATGTATGAGACTTTTCTAAAATTGTGCAAGTCGTGTTTTCATCTCTGTTTTCTTCATAGATCTCCAGTCGCTTTTCCAATAGTACCATGTTACCCCCGAGTCTGATCTCTGCAGAATCTGCCTTGAGGTACTGACCGTTGAGGTGGGATTTGTTACATAACTTATACCACCAAGCACCTTTCCACGAAGCAGCACAGTTACCTCCCCGTTGATCTTTGTCCTTGGTGGAGAACTTCATTCCGTTGTGATAAAACGTCGTTGTTAGCTCTCGAGAGCCTACAGCTACGCAAGCCTTCGTCTCAAATTTCAACCTGCGAACGGGCATACTCATTGCGGGCTGTATGGCCTGCGGAGGAGGTATAGATATTTCTGAACAACTAAACGCGATAGACAAGTGAAAATACGTAATTTTAAAAGCATTCCGTAGGTATGTTTAATAGATATCGAGAATAAAAAATTTATTGCCATTGTCTTTTTTGAATTGGTTGTAGCTATACAAAGTTGCTCAAAACCAATTAGTTTCCGCACGGTTATCTTTCTTTAAATTAGAAAATATAATCACAGAAAACAAAATAATTATGCCAGCACAAAAAAAATATATAATGACCGATCCATTGTGGCTATAAGTGGAACACAAATAATGATTGAATAGTTTAATACTTTAAATTTGACATGTAAATATTCAAAGCTTCCAGTCTCAACTATATGTTATGATATCCCGGCGAAGAACGAAGCTCTGAATTGGCTTATATTATTATTATTATTATTATTAATGTCTTTATTGTCTAGAGTCACAACAGACGTGCAACTTTACAAATGTCACATTCCTATTTGTTACAGTTAAAAAGTTGATCTATCCTAATTAATTATATAAAAGTTAAAAATAGTTAAAAAGACATCTATTTATAAAGGATCGTTTAAATCGCTCCGTTTTAATTTGAGGTAAAATAAAGTTATGTTCCCTTTGTCTTAAGATCCTTTGTTTACACACAGGAAGCAATTCATGTAGGGCATGTTCTGGATTCGATACGATTTTGCTGAATAATTTTCTGTCTCTCTCCTCGATCACTTCAGATATCTTAATACTCTTTGTCGTATATCCATAACGATAAGCCCGCCGGAAAAACTTGTCTATACGATCCAAATATTTCTTTTGGAGTGCAGAGCCCCACACTTCAATGCAATAGTAAAAGAGTGACATGATTAGCGAATCGAATAATTTGCTTAGCTGATCTGCAGAGTAACCATAGCATCTACACACTCTCAATATGTACATACGCCCGCTGGCCTTCGACAGAAGATCATCGATATGAAGATCCCAGCAACATGGATTTTCCTGAAATGTGACACCTCATAATTTCAACCAGCTCTTTCGTTCAATGCCTACAATTGGTGCCGGTAACGGTTTCATAGACCCACCGTGCACAACCATTTCCCACGTTTTAGAAAGATTTAATGTCATTTGATTTGCTTCCGACCAATTCTGAATGCTTTCCACCTCAGCCTCAGCGGAATCCGATCCTGATTTTATTGGAGCACTTGTCGTTATATCGTCAGCAAATTTAACCAATAGATTATTTTGCGCATCCATGGGTTTTATATCATTAACCATCAACGAAAATAGAAAGGGACCCAAAACCGTACCCTGCGGTACGCCTTTGTTGATATCAACATAAACAGTTTCTATGCCATCAACAACAACTCTTTGTTTTCTGTTGGCCAGAAAACTAATAATCCAGTTTATAGTATACAGATTAATTTCGAGTGTTTTCAATTTTTCACAAATAATGTTATGGGATACCGAGTCAAACGCTTTCTTATAGTCAAATGATGTTACCCTAACAGAGTCTGCACCTTCATCCAGCCACTTGAGCCAATGATGCAAACACATAATCAGAGCATCGGTAGTATTTGTTCCCTCTTTATAAGCAAATTGATCTCGTCCGATCACGGATTTGAATGCAGACGCAATCTCCTGTTTATAAACTACCCTTTCAAATAATCTCATAATGATGTTTGTGAGCGATATAGGCCTCAATTGACTACACTCTGTCAAAGGAGATTCTTTGGGTATAGGGTTCACATTGGCGAGCTTCCACATCAGGGGGACACATTGTTGTTCGATTGAGAGATTGAACACTTTGGTAATTATGGGCGCTAAAAGTTGTGCAAAGTCTTTCCATAACCAATATGGAAGCCCATCAGGACCTGGCGCTGTTCGTTTTAGTTTCGTCAAAAAATTAATAACAGTAGGCTCATCAATGGTAAGAACTCGGGTACCTATAGGAATTGGTATGAGTTGGGGGGATATGTAGTTCACATCCGTGTTTACATTTTGAAAGTACGAGTTAATGTGTTGTGGATCGATGACTGAGCCAATATTGTTGTTCTTGCTTTTTCTACCAGTAATTCTATTCACAGTATCCCACCACTTTTTGGATCCAAAACTATTTTTTCTATTCTCATCATCAACGGAACGAACAAGATTTTCACGAATTAGCTCATCACGTTTTTGCAGATCATTATTGACTCCCTTCGTTATGTTCTTATTCCTTATCTTACATAAGTGTTTGACCAAAGGAGACATATATGGTGGGTCACGTGTTGACATTTTAACTTTAATTAACGGGAAACAGTCCTTAAACATGTTGGTGATAGTGTCATTTAATAGAGTAACTGTATCATTGACATTATTGCAATTATAAATGTGACTCCAATCACATGTCTCCAATTTCCTCATCATGCTGAATTTCCGATGAGCTCTTACGTCTCTAAAGTAGACATCCTTTCTTTCGGGTTTTATAGCTTGTCGCGGGGAAACCATGACAACCAAATGGTCAGATCTTACTAGACCTTTGAAAACCTTTGATTTTTTCCAAAGATGTGGACAGTTGGTTAAAAATACATCCAAAATTTTATGATTTCGGGTAGGCTTCTTGACTAATTGTTCCAAGTTGTGCTGTGCATGCCTTTGTTTTTAATTGATTAATGTCTCCTGCTATAATTATTCTTGCATTGGGCTCAGGATAAAGAATCTGTTCTATAGTTTCAGACAAATGATTTAGTAACTCAGTCTCAGGATAAATGGGGTCAGGTGGGTGGTATACTGAAGCTACGTAGTATTTAGTATTAGGTGTTACAATTTCACACCAAACACACTCAAAGTTGTTGTCAAAATCCAGATTTTTAACTTTCCAGTCGTCTCTACACAGAATAGCCACTCCACCCCCCGACCGCGAGTCACACCGGTCTTTTCTGACAAAAACGTAATCGCCGAGACACACCAGGCTTGACGGAATTTTGTCGTTTAACCATGTCTCAGTAATGAAACAAATATCAATGTTATTAGTGCACAACTCAACGTTTAGGGAGACAGCAGCATCAGGTTTTGCTAGAGAACGAGCGTTAATAACCATGCATTTGGGTATAACTTTAGGAATTGGAGGTCCCGTTTGTTCTAATGTTATACTAATGTTGTTAGTTGTGTTACAAGATCTAGGTGTTCTTGCGATAATGGGGGCGGCAATATTTCCCACGCTGTGGAAAAAAAGACTGTTCGATTTCCCATGCATTATTTCTGTTTCTTATTCTCCTTACAGTTCTACGCGATGCTTGCTTTTTATATGTGTGCATGGAAAATAAATTAATGAGATTAAGATTATTCCGTTTGTCTATATTCGTTTGTGAACTCTTTTTAACCAACTATATATGTATAGGTAATAGTATGGTTTTGAGTGCAATTTGGGAAAAACATACACGAGTTGATCAAAATTTGAACTGGTTTTTGAAAAACCCACGAGTATGTATGTTTTTCCAAATTGCACGAGAAACCATACTATTACTTATTAATAATATACATGAAAAAATTATGCAGTCACAGGCATGCATAGGTCACGTGCGAAATTTTAATATAAACTATTTTATTACTAAAAACGCCAGCCATTTTTGTCACTTGTAAATGTTTGGGGTTTTTGTATTATTTTCTGCTCGAAATTACTGCATGTATGTTATAGTCAATGAATAGTCAATAGTCACCGTATTTCGAAAAAATTGCACTGCTCTTAGTCAATCAGAATTGAGGAATTTTTCATGTATATTATATCCCCAAGCCAAACGGCGCGAAATACCGTTCCGGACGTATAAGCCCAGGGCGAGGGTACTAATTCCGCACGGCTATTTACACCGGGAAAAGGAAGGCTATTAGAGGTTTCAAAAGTGGGATAGTGGGTGGTCATCTCACTGATCTCAAAATATGGTGGATTGCCAAGAGTGGAATGAGCCAACTGCTGAGATTTCAGTAAAAAAGAATGAGAACATGAGAAAGTCGTTTCTTACAATTAGCTGTAAAGCAATTTTTTAAATTTTACTTTAAAGAAATGACAAAAAGAGAAAAAAGATGGGAAATGATGAAATATAAAGCAAGTTTGTTTTTAATCGTAAATATATATATATAGTATTACGTTGTTTTCGGGTGAAACACTTGCCTCCTAAATTGCCCTATTATTTCTGTATGATTGTATGATTGAACTGATTTCGTTGCAAGTAATAAAAACACTAAGTTAAATAGTCAATTTAATCGGCAAAAACCATCAGTGGCAAAAACTGCCAAACAACAGCATATATAAAGTTAAATGAACATTTCGTGAAGCGTTCAAGGTTGAATATTACCTTAAATTCAAGCTTATAGAGTGAAAAATAACATACCTACTTTATGTATTTTAGAAATTGTTAGTTCGATAGTTAAAAGAGGTAAACTTCATTAATATTTTTTGCGTTTTGCACAAAAAATGAAAAAGTAAAAACGATCGTGCATTCGTGTTGCCATCAAGGCCATGACCACAGAATGCCATGGCTAACATCAGGGACGCCGGAACGATGTGAAGGCAAGGGGGCATATTTTTGTGCAAGGGGACTTTTGAATTGATATATACTAAGAGATGTTTGCAAAACATCGGGAGTTGAACTTCGCCTAATCATGTTTTCTATTTATTGGATGATTGGGGTGTGAGGGGTTTCTCCGCCAGGCGATTGTGCTATTCTTGAAGCTCCATGTCTTCGATGACTGCATTTTTTGCGTTTTCTGAAGCAGATTCGTAAAAGAATTGCACTAACATTTCTGACAATTCGCTATTTCGCCGGCAACCCTTTAAATTGAAAGGGCACCTTTGCCCCCCCCCCTTGCCCCTCCTGGTAAAGGGCAACAGGGGGGCTGCCCCTCCTGCCCCCAGTTCCAGCGTTCCTGGCTAACATGACGCGAGCCTGCGTTCAATGGTGGCGTAATTTAGAATACTTCATGTACTGAACCTCACTTGCAATATATCGGTTGTGCATGCCTCACTTAAACCATGGATAATAAAATAAATGGATAGGAAACTAGCTGACGTGACCTAATGTTTTCAATGTGCTGATGGCGTGATTGGATGTTGAAACCTAGTTGCAAACCAAATTCTCAAAAACGGCATGTTTAGCAATAATACAGCTAAACATTTTAGTCAAAGAGCAAATGAATATAACTACGCCATTCTACGATGAAATCTCTAAGTATTCCCAGTCAATTTTAGCAAATATATCAAGCACTAAACAGTGAAAAAGGCATCCCAAATTTCGTTAAAATTGGGGACGCCAATTTCGTAGCTACAAATGTAAAAAAATACAAAACAAAGACGAAAAACATTTACCTTGAATTTTTTGTCGTGGCTTAGGCATGTTTTTAAAACAATTAGACCGGTTTATGCTTCAATATTGCTCTTTTAAGGCGGAAAATATAGCGAAACAACAAAAATGCAGAGAACTTTGCAATATGCGTGACGTCACAGATTGCAACTAGGTTGTTTTTGCTTACGTCAGCGAGAGTCCTATCCATTTATTTTATTATCCATGCTTAAACCAGATACTTGTAGGTAAAACTTTAAAAAATGTACATCAACTGTTCATATGTGTGATATTTATCATTAACCACCTGAACGTTTTTATCTTCTCCAACATTAACAGGGCAGTAACATCGCCATTGAATGCCAGGAGGATCGTTTGTATGGCGGGGCCCAATACGAGCGTAATGCGTATTTCCCGATGGACAGATGGGGGCATTTTTGCGGCAAAATTCATCTCGCCTCTTTTGAACAACACCGTCTGCAAATAAAATATTAATTTCTTTGTAAATTTATCAAAATTCTTCCTACAACTTTTACTTTTCAATCCGAGACACTCAAATATTTTCAAAATTTGTCCGACGAAATTGTATTGTATGACGTCGTGTAAACATGCATGAAAATGTAATATAAGACTTTCATTATTAATTTCATGCGCCGTACTTCACATACGCCAAATCCAAGAATTTGATACAACAAAATAATTAAGTTCGATACGTCTTGCCGCATTATGCGGCTTTAGCACGGCAAGTGATTCAGACAGTGTACTTTACATGTCCCGAATTAAATGCGTAACTAATGCATAATTAAACATAATTAAAATGGTTGGTTTTTCCATAATACACTGCGGTTTTAACCCAACCACCCCAAACAGATTAAGTTCACCGAAATAAAATACGCCGTATAAATCAACTGCGCCGTACCGAATTCACAGTAATGCCGTACTTATAATTCAATTAAATTCGGCACATGTGAAGTACTTCCTATGAAACTGGCCTGTAGTTGACACCCATCTCATTTGCATTGATCTCGTGCTTGGAAAGCTATTATGAATGGTTTCCTACCTGGCAAATAAAGATGAAAAGGATGTTGTGTAAAATAGGCATCTGAGTTATAAGACGCGACCACATCACTCCAACGTAGCAGATTTTCCTCTATACTAGTTCCACCATATGACATCGCTGTTATCGCCTCGTTCGGTAAGACATGATTCCACACATTGGTTTGAGCTATTTTCGACATAATAGATTGTGTATTTGAAAAACCTCCTCCATATGTGTCCTGGTCATTCGTAAAGGCCCATATTCCTGGAGAAGATAACGTCTGCTGCTTGGGAAGAGAGGTTGTGAAGCCACTAATCTTCCCTTCCAGATAAAAGTTTGCTGCGCCATTAACGCCGTCCCATGTGAGGCAGAAATGACGCCATTTTTTATTTCTGAGCGAAGAATCATCGCCCACCCTTAAAAACAGAGAACCGTAATAAGTTTGTAGACAAGTGTAACATTCTTTACTGTCGTTCCAATTGAAGTGTTCCTCAAATATTGATTGTCCGTTTTTATACTAGAGACGCATTATGCGTCTGGACGAACTTGGGCAAGCATTTGTTGTTCGTCTGGTTAAGCGTCCTCAGTATAAAGACGGGCACAAGATGCATTATGCGTCTAGACGAACTATGTTCGATTCTTCGTCTTAAGAGACGCACAACCGATGATAGTTCGTCCAGACGCATAATGCGTCTTGTGCCCATCTTTATACTGAGGACGCATAACCAGACGAACAATAAATGCTGATAGTTCGTCGGATTATTCGTCCCGTCTTTATACTAGACGAATAATATAGAAGACGTATTATGCGTCCAGACGCATAATGCGTCTCTAGTATAAAAACGGCCATTCAATACATTACCTCGGGCTGACCAATTCATTTGATCAAGGTGCTCGAAATATTCATACACTTCCTAGTATAATTGTAAACTTCCTGTTGAATAGTTTGAATGCACCAATCACCTTTGTTGTTTGTGCAACTAACCAATCATAAATAGAAAGGAAGTGACCAGAAATGATCAAATACTTGGAATTGGCTCTCACAGGAAGTGTATGAATATCTCGAGGAACTTGATGAAATGAATTGGTCAACCTGAGGTAATGTATTGAATCAATATTTGAGGAACACTTCAATTGGAACGACAGTAAATCTCGTCAGCTTTGAGCCAACTCCAAGAATTGCACCAGAATTTTATATATTAGGTATAATTTTACATATAGTTGTAATTTTGGATTTGTATAAAGTAGCTTAAAGAAACAATGTTCATTTCTCAAACTCATTAACATTAATTCTTGAACAAACCACAAAAAATCAATACCTTAATTATAATATATTGTAGTCGCTTCATGCCATACCGCGATTATAAAGTCCATGCATAAATTGAACTATCGTAATCAAACTCTCCTTTCATCGACCCTCAATTCGTTTGTTCTGCTTAATTATTTTAAGTAAATTGTATTTGTAAATTTTACTTGCACCTTTGTTGGATAACCCTTTGGTCGTTTTATTTCTTACGACCTATACAGACACATGCTGAAATTCGGTGTAAAAAATTCAAGATCAAGGGATTGAGCAAGAAAAAGCACATCAAAGTTTATTAGTGCACACAGTTTGACCACATTTAATTCATTATAAGATAAACTCTCAAAAATTGCGCCAGGAATTGCAATGATATATTTTCTTTTGACCCATGGACTCACGTCACCCAAAACCTATTGTCTACTGTATATATTGAATTCCATAGTGCTTCTCGCCCTTTACTTGGAAACGCACCATTGATACCATATTACATTTACATGTGGTATTAGTGTGCTCTACTTATTACGAGGTGCTCTTTTTAATTATTGAGTTTGTTTCCCAATTTTCACTGGAAAAAAATTGAAAATCCAATGTATGGACCTTTATTGGAAATAGAATGGATTTTGATTATTTATAAGTAACAGCATGGCTTGAGGGAGATTAGTGATTAAATGACTCCGTAACCCGAGGCAGGTTTGTGGGATTCCGCAAATGTGCCGAGGGTAAGGGGTCATTTAAGGCCGGTTTACACGACAAGCGTTTTGGGCACGGCACCCCTGAAAATGGGCACCGTGCCAAGACCGCCACTTCGTTTACACGTTTACACGACAACATTTTGTAAACGCACTTTTATGATAGGAACCGTGCCCATCGGAAAACGGCACCTCTACTTTCCGTTTACGACGGTATATTTTAAAGAGTAAATATGTCCGACAGAAATAGAATTATATATTTATATTTATTGGAACGAAGAAGACTATTATATGAGCCGAAAATCGAGGGGGAAAACCAATTCAATACTAGAAAAGTACTTTAAGGGCCAGTTCATATGGGCAAAAGTTATCCCGGTTAGCGAGAAAACTTTTCGACAAGTTTACAAACGAGATCTTGCCTTGGTATGAAAATAATATGAAAAGTTACACTGCGTTCATATGAGACAAAAAGTTTTCCCGTGTACCGAGACCTCGCTTGTTGACAAGCCAGATCTCGGTGACCGGGATAATGTTTTTCCCATATGCATGAACACAACTTTACCGCTTAGCGGGATAACTTTCTGTCGTATCAGCATCTTTTCAATTCAGTTGATATTCAGTGCGTGCCCATTGGAAAACGGCACCTCTATTTTCCGTTTACGACGGTATATTTTAAAGAATAAATATGCCGGCCAGAAATAGAATTATATATTTATAGTTATTGGAACGAAGAAGAATATTATATGAGCCGAAAATCGAGGGAAAAACCAATTCAATACTAGGAACGTACTTTAAGGACCAGTTCATATGGGCAAAAGTTATCCTGGTTAGTGAAAAAACTTTTCGAAAAGTTTACAAGCTGTGAACAGAACAAAAGTATAATTGGCTAGTCAAAAAGTTTTCTCGTTAACCCGGGATAACCTTTGCCCATATGAACAGGCCCTTAAAGACGAAAGGAGTTGTTTTCTCGCATAAATGTTGTGCCATCTTGTATTCACCCGCCACGAATTCGAGAGGTATGGACGCATCGAACGACAGCTATTTGCTACGACCTAGTTACTGCTCTATTCAGCGACGAACAGTGGTATCAAAATTTCCGAGTCAACTAGAGCAACATTCACATTCTGTGTTAAATTTGTTTTTTAACTTTGTTTTTTTTTAATTTTTGGCAAGTTGTAGTTTTTCGCCGCTTGCTCCATGTTGGAAAGAGGACAATTTGTTTTGCGCATGCTCGAAGGGGAAAGGAGGGGAAAGG